AAAAAAAAAAAGTTTCCAAAAAATCTGAAAACTATATATTGTCACAAATAGAACTGCCCGGTAAACCGTAGGCAGAGAGAGAGAAGAGGACAACAAACGAGGGGCTGTGAAAAACTGTTTCGTCGCAGAAGAATAAAGTAAACGACATTTGCCTCAACGTTACGTCCAAATTCTTTACCAAATTTGAAATAAAAATCAAATACTAAAAATAAATAATAATAATGAAAATTAGAAAAAATAAAACGAGAATGAAATTATTGACTGGGCGAGCACGTTTTTGACACCACCATCTTTGGCGATTTTTCATTTGTTTTTGGCTGTGACAAATGCCATGAAAATTTGTATATGTGTATCTTACATAATAGAGAATCTACAAATAAAGTTTGAAAAAATAATAATTTTTTTCATGCCCCGAAATAAAGGAAAAACAAAAAGTGAAAAGAGAGAAAAAACAAATTAGTGAGTGGGCAAGCAAGTTTTGACACCACCATCTTTGCCGATTTTTCATTTGTTTTTGGCTGAACAGAATGGCTTCAAAATTAAGAGGGAGATACCTTACATCACAGAGAACTCACCAAAAAAAAAAATCAGAAAAAAAAATAAATATTTAGGTGCCAAAATATTTTTCTGCGGGGTCCGAACCCCTTCAGGTTCGGGCCCTGTACGGGGACCCGAACGCCCGAACGTTCGGGGGTCAGCTTAGGGGCCTCCGTACGTTCGGCCTGGCAACCCTGTATATATATATAATATATTATATATATATTGTTTATTAGAAAGGGTGACGGACTTGAGATATCATGTGGACTGACAGGCCCCCGGTAAATTCAGAGTTATTTCCACTCATCTAATTTCATGAGGATTCGAACTCAGGTATGTATTTCAACAGTTCATGTGGGTACCAACTTAGCTAGGCCAATTGGTACTGGTATGATATTTATTTCTGCACTAACAAGTAGTATGGTCTGCTGGGGCAGTGGGTATCCGCTGAGCGCGCAGGGTTGGCGGCCGCTCTTGTAACCTCGCACAGACTCTTCCTGATGGATAGAGACGGTCTCCTGCAAAGAATACAGATGCTGACTGACAGCCAAGGCCTTCTCTCACTGCAAACTGAAGTCTGATGCAAACAAGGAAGTGCATCCGGGGCGATAGTGGGACCAGATGGACCAGCACCTTCAACCGGCTGTAGTGTCCTTGGAACGGGACATGAGAATAGTACCATGGGACAACAATGGTATTGCAACAATTCTGGCGAGTCAGGATACTTGGGATGACATGACCAAGTACCTTGACTGGTACGGCCCACACGCAACCCACCTTACAGATGCACAAGATCACCAGTCGACCCAAACAATAGATAATCAGAAAACTGAAATGAGTGCAGAGTCTGCAGACATCTTACTGGGCGCCTGCACCTCGACCAGGTTCAGCGGCCACGACCAGGTTCAGTGGCCATGACCAGGTTCAGCGGCACGACCAATGTTGCATAACAAACCGAAGGCAGTTGCGGAAATGCTAATTCACGATACTCGTTGCGGCACAATCGATAGATGATGGGTGCTGCTCGAGTTCAATTACAAGGAGAAAAGGGTATTTCAATAATTTTGTACTATTTCCGCCTTAGCCCCTCGTTTGTTGTCCTCTTCTCCCTCTCTGCCTACAGTTTACCAGGCAGCTCTGTTTGACTATATATACCCCCAACCCAACTCATTATTCTCCCCCGCACTGCATCACCTTCTCACTGAAGCTGCTTCGGGTAACTGGTATCACGTCAAGGCTGATATTGAGCAAGCGACACCGGCATGGCGGGTACGCTTTTTTTTTGCAATGGCTTTACAACAATGCCTCCAATACGGACATGACAGCAGATATTTGAGAACTTCAATGCCTCATCCGAAAATCCCAGCATACCCGGCAACGTTACACAGCTCAACCTCATGACCCACCATTTACTGACCACAGGGGAAGGGTGCTGTTTCCCTACCTGCATATTTGCAACAAGCAGAGTGAAAATAATAAGGCCGATAACTGAGATGGTGATGCAGAAAAGTATCTCTCCGATGTACGCACTCGTAACAAGATTCGATCCAACCGAGCTGCCAAAGAAACAAAGCAATATAACAAAGCATAGAGAACACAATAATACACAATGTTACACATTCATTAGACATGCAATGCAAACACTTGAAACGGTATTCACCAATTCGTGGTAGCTGAGGTAGATCCCAGGGCTCGATCCCTAGTTTCCCAACTT